TCGAGTGGTCGGGTTTCCGAACTTCATCTGTCCATCGGTCTCGTTTTGATTACGGTGCAGGAACTTTGGTCTGCCAAACGAGAGGGACGTAAGCAGGGAAATCTCCGACTGATCACGCATGCGGCGTGCAGACAAACCCCTAACATTCAATTTTTTTTTTCGTTTAATTTCGCAACTCCAGAACCAGACTGCTGGGTCGGGAGCCGCCAAAGCCGGTCACATTCCGATTGCGCGTGTGGCGGCACACTATTCCAGTGCAGCATGCACTACTGTCTGACCTCCTGAGGAGATGCCCACGCACCTCAGTCGTTCTCACGAGTCACAGCTCGGGACCGCGTGAGAGGCTCCTGGTTGGAGACTGCGAACCCAGGGTGAATAGGTATAGGACGAGGACCCTCCATACAAGTCTGCTCACTCCATGCTCTATTTCTCTGGGACGATGGGCCTTTTGCACCAAAGAAGCCTCGTCCAGGGTGACATGTTCGGTACCAATCACATCGTCAAGGTGCCATTCACCGAAACAAGATGAGAATTCAACCCCCTTGCCTATTTAGACCACCAGTTCGCACGCTGAATAATGTGGGACGTAGCTCCATCTGCATTCTTGAATCAAGTGAACCCTTGTTAGTACATACACTGACTTGTTCGATATCTCGTTACCATCTGGCTGGTAACCAGTCGGACGCTACAAGACCGGGCCCGCGAACCAGCATCGCGGCCAGCCCTGGCCACATACACTGGCCACGACTTAGACAGCCTGTAGTGTTGGCCGCCGTCAGTGAACTCGAGCGTTGCCGAATCTCTCGAGAACCGGCAGATGTCTTCTCCACAACTCATCACCCGTCGAAGCGGGGATACCTGCATCCATGCGAGTGTCCTCGGACTGAACAGCTTCACTCCTTGTGTATCCATCTGCCTTTTCTTACAGCCTCGCACACTCAGAGGGCGACTGGAATCCAATTGTCGGCGCTTTTCCTCGATCACTTCATTGCTGACGCCCAGGCCTAGATCATGGAAGGTGACGAAACACTGCATACGCCGCATTCGAAGCGGCACCGTTTTGGCTGCCATACAATGCCTCGTCCGATGGATGGGTAGCGCGCGCGATGCAGCCAAGGGTGGCACGGCGAGCGCGTATCGTTACATCGATCCAACTTCATTCCACGGCAAGCAGACTTTCATGGCATGAGCCGTCATGTCTCGGCTCGTTTCGTTTCTTGTTTCCACTGTTCGAGAAGGATGAAGGAGATGAAGGCCGACGCGCTGCAACGCTGTGCTACAAGCGCCAGGCCGTGGGAAATATCCGCTGGAGTGGGCCGGAAATTGGGCGTCTCGCCGAGCGGGGGGCGCGCAAGGGTGGAGGCGGCGGCGCAATGATGAGCGTAGAGGGGAGATTTGGGGGGGGGGGGGACAGGCTCTGCGGCAGCGGCAACGGTAGATGCGCGTTCCTCTGCCAGGAGGCAAGTCCGGTTTGGCATGGAATGGATTGATGCCTCGCAAAGCTCGCGCGATCCCCCAGAGCAGGTGATTCTGTCCGGCCGGGACGGCTCTGGCGACCAGGGTGACGAGGGACGCCGACCATGCCAGGCATTTGAGACGCGGGGCAGCGGGCCCTTGTTTCGAGGGCGATACGCTCGTGGTCGGCGCGTGTTTGCATTGGCGGGGGTGGTGTGCTTCTCGAATGGCCGCGCCTGGACCGGCGAACGAGGCACGAGGCTGTTCGTGCTTTTCGTCGTCGTCGTCATCGACGGACCCTGTTCAGATTGCTTTTCGCATAGCTAAGCTGGCTACGGGGATCATCGGGCCGGCATGGCATCGAGTCTACGTCGTGACGAGACCCCAATGGGGACATGGGCGCTCAGCGGAACATGGAACCTCTGGAGAGCGACATCCATCATGACAGCACGGGGCGGGCCGTCCGCGACTGGAAAGTATGTCCTATGGCCAGGACGGCATACCGCACTACTGATCATGTGGTTACTAGGCCATTGGGTTTCGCGATTCTCATGGTGCGTGGTTACCTGTCAACATAAATGCTGCGTTGACATATTCGTTCGCCTCCTTGCAGCAAGAGTCCCGGTGAGTAGACTCACCCTGTGCAGAGAGGTCGAAAGTCTCACGAGGCATGAACGCGTCCGTTCACTCAATGTCGAGCTAGGACAAATAGTCAAGGCGTGAGGTTCTTGCATAGCCAACAGGACCGTACGACTCCTCAACTACATTCGCAGGAAGCTTGCTGCGTATGGTCAGCTGCTGGAAGTGAGACGAGGAAACATTCACAAGCACGAATGTAAATCACATAAAACGTAGCCAAGGCGGTTCTATTATAGAGAGCCAGCCTCTTCTCTCGTTGCTGCTCCCAGCTTGAGGGATCAATGGTCTCTTTCTGACTGAGCCCTCGCCGGGGCGTTTCTTCCCCGTCATAATACATCCCGTACGCGCGAAGAACCCCATAAGAAAAGGGGTTGCAACTCAACGTTGTGAGCGCAACCATCTATGTCTCTCTCCCTCTCTCCCTCCCCAATGCGCGGCTATGTAACCCGAACTCAAGCTCATTGAGGGCGAGAGCAGTTCGAAAGGAGAGAAAAAGGCATGAGCGGCATGGTCTACTAAAACGGCCACGTCGCGTCCAGCTGATGCGTTAAAAGGAGCCCGCATAGATCGACTCCGGCCGACTACCACTCGTACTCTCCCGTGGCCTTGTGGAATACGTACTCCTTGCCGTTCACCGTAAGAACGCCATCCTTGAGCACGCACTTCCACTTGTTCTTGACGCGCTGGACCTTGTCATACATGCAGAGCATGATGTGGCCCAAACCCTCGTCGTCGACCTCGTCATCGTCTTTCTCGTCATCCGAGTCGTCAAGATCGGAGTTGATGGCGTCCTCGTCGGCAATCTCAGGACCGTCTTCGTCGTCTTCGCCGTCATACTGCGCAACACCGCCCGTGCGCTCCTTGCCCTTTCTCGACGGGGCGACTGCCGAGGAGGACTTGGAAGCTTCCTTGAGAGGCAGCATGAGGCCGCCGCCCTCCATGGCCTTGGCCTTGGAAAGGAATTGCTGGTGCAGGAGCCCGTCGATCTCTACTCGGCCAAGCTCATGAAGAGTACCTGCCTTGTCGCGCTGCATCAAAATGCCCTGGACCTCGTCGTAGTCGTCCACTTCGTCTTCGTCCTCATCCCCGGCGCCGTCTGTTTGCGAATTCTTGAAGCCCTGTTGCTGCTGACCAGGCAGAGCATATTGTGGTTGTTGTTGTTGCTGCTGCTGCTGCTGCTGCTGCTGCTGCTGCTGTGGCTGGCCGGGCCTGGCCTGGTTCTGTTGCATCTGAGGCAGTGCGGGTGCGGGAACTTGCTGTGCGCCGGCGTTGATGGCGCTCGAGGCATCGTTCCCATAGCGGTTGCTGATGTGCTGCATGGCTCGCGCCTGGGCGAGACCGCCAGCGGCGTGCATGTTTGGGGCCCCTGTCTGACCTCCGGGTTCCTGCTTGATATACGGCTCATTCTTGACGTTCGGGTCGTGGTTGACGGGACCACCCGTCGGCAGAGAGATGCCGACAGCGTTGGGCGCGGGGTTCATTGTGGCCTGCGTGTAGTGCGCCTGGGGGTGCTGCTGCTGTTGTTGCTGGTAGATGTGTTGCGGCTGTTGCTGTTGCTGCATCGCCGGCACTTGCTGCTGCTGCTGCTGTTGTGATGAAGGCTGCGTGGCTGCCGTAGGAGGCGGCGCGGAGGGAGCGGGCTGGGGCGGGTCTGGCTTGGGATCCCACGGGAAACTGGCCACCTCGAGCTGAGAGAGCTTCTGCTGCCAACCCCGCTTCAGCTCCTCGAGAACGCCATCCTCAACACCGCCTTCCTCGAAATCGACGCGCGAGGCACTAATGACGTCCTCAATGACCTGTTGGTAGACATTGCCAACGACGTTGTTCGACATGATGGCGATTCAGACAATGTCAATGTCGGTGAAAGTCGGTCTGGCGATCCAAAGGTGGGCCGCGGTCGGTGTACTGCTGTTCTGTGTCTTTGAGGTTGCTCGGAGGAGTATGTCGTCAATTCGCTTGGGGTGGTGCCGCAGGAACAAAGGCAGCGGCGGAGTTGCGGTCAGGTTCGGAGTGGACGGATGGTCTTTGTCTGCATGGGGCTTGGGACGGACGGCCTCTGCGTACCTTGTCAACAGACCGAAAGTCAAAGTCACTGCTGTAGCTAAGCTAAGACGTACCAAGTAGCTTGGTGTTCGTAGACTTGCGTCAACGGGACAGTCCACACTGTAACGTGAGGTACCGTAGGGCAGGTTCTCCTTAGTGGGGAAACGGTGGCGATCTCAGACGGTACGTGAGCAACTCGTGCGGGACGAGGAAGGCGCGCAAAGGCGGGAATATCTATTGTGTATGGCAAACGAGAGACCGTTGTCTTGTACTGGCGCTTTGCAGAAAATCGCAGTTGTCGAACCCCGTAAGTAAGGGTTGAGATTCTGCGGCGACCAGGCGCGTGACGATGGCGATGTTGGTGTTGAGGTGAAGTTGCCTGGGCTGGAGACCGAGCAGCAGAAGAACGGCCTATGGCGGCAGTCGCAAAGGATTAGTCAGTGAATTGGCTTATCGATAGTTCCTCCAAGGAGGAAGGGGAAGGAGGAAGAGGAATTGAGGGGCAAGCGGCAAGGAGTGCGTTCACCGGGTCTCACCGAAGGCACCTGGCCAAGTCACTAGTCCTCTTTCAGAAACGAGCTTGCTCGATCCCTGTCTACATTTTGCGAGAGGCACCTGCTGGATGGTGGTCCAGGTTCTCTGTCACACATTCTGACAATGACTTGCCATTGGCAAAGACCAACGTGATGCTCCCATCACGGCTCGCACGACAGGCTCTGCGCTGTTTCCATCGATCCCATCAACTCCCCGAGAGCCCCTTCGCCAAGCCATCACGATTTTCCTCGGCCAAGGCGACACCTCCCCGAAATGACAGCCCCGAGCTGCCTGACCACCGAAAGGTGGGCGCACAGCAGGAGCTGTTCATGACGTCCGTCTACAGCCCCGGGTCGCCCATCTTCCTACCCAACGGCGCGCGAATCTTCAACCGCCTCGTCGACTTTCTCCGCCGGCAATACGTCAGCTATGGCTTCGAGGAGGTCATCACGCCCAACATCTACAAGAAGTCTCTGTGGGAGGTGTCGGGCCACCTGCAAAACTACGCCGACGACATGTACACCGTGACGAGTCGCGCGCGCCAGCCCGAAGCGACGAGCAGCCAGCCCGAAGCGTCGAGCTGCTGTGGCGACGGCGGCCGGCTCGCCGAGGGCGAGACGACGACTACGGCCTCAAGCCGATGAA